GAGTCAATCCGGCCGAAGATATCAGATATCAATCCGCCCGATATCAATCGATATTAATCGATATCGATATCAATCCGCCCGTGTAATAAATGGCGACTTTTTCTTTCTTTTCCTCCAGACGTGGACACGTACCTAGGTTTGCAAAACCCTTACCAGTATAGTTCACTACTGGCTACCAGTCCAGCTCTCCACAATAGCATGGAGAGCTGGAACCGGGAGCGAGCCAGATCAGCGGGTGTTTACTAAAATAAAAAATAAATGGTGACTGGTGCTTGTTAAATCTGTCGGGTCACAAAGCCCTCCCTGTGACGTATAGGTGTGGCAGAAGTTAAATTCTTGACCATAGATGGCGCTACTGGAAAACAAGAACAATCGTACTCTGCCTTAATAGCCTACAACAACATGTTTTAATTCTTTATACTTTAATAGGTGATTATGGGTTTAAAAAAAATAACTTAAAATCATTTTAACCAACAAATGATTAAACAAATGATTCTCAAAATCATGAAATTATAACGCCGAAAAAAGGCGGTGGAATTTTTAAGTGCTGTCGAATTTTAAAAAATTATAGTATTTTTCGAAGTTCTTTCACCTAGAAAAATAAATAAGTCGCAACTTGGCGCACCTAAGTGCTTTAAACTCACAGATAAATTGTAATTTTAAAGTATCCATAACACTATGCAGTTAAGAATTATCTGGTCTGAAGAACGAAAAAATAGCTTAAATATTTAAAATATCGTAAAACTTTTTTCTTGCCAATTTGTCGAGATGAAACCTATTTCTCAACTGTTGTAAATTTTTAAGACCCCAGATGGTGCAACATTAAAATAACTACTCAAATATTTTTAAAAAATGGATTCCAAACGCTTTTCATTTTCACCAGACAATGGTTATATTTTTATTGTGACATTTCGAGCCTTTTTCATAGAGGGCGCTTGCAAAAGATTGACAAAACTTAATTTTACAGTCATGTTGGCTATTACAATCGCTCAACAATTATAAAAATTACATAAATGTGACATAGAGCTGCGATGGCTCAGGGGATAAAACGTTCGCCTTCCAATCAAGTGAACCGGGTTCGAATCTCGGCTATGGCTGATTAATACGAATTCCGCATCCGGCTTGCACCGACCCCAGTGCTGACGTGAAATATCCTCCGTGTTAAATGGATCATGGATTAGAGTCCCCTTGCCAGCAGGCTAACCGTGGGAGGTTCTCGTGGACTTCCTCTCCATGTAACGCAAATGCCGGTTAGTTCCATCAAAAAGTCCTCCACGAAGGCAAATTTCTCCCAAAAACTCGATCCAGGAGTTCCCTTGTCTTCTGGATTGTGTTCAAAATTACAAGGCTACGGAGCTGAACATTGGTAGTCGTGAACCCAAAATTTGGGTCGGCTTTTCAATGACGGTTATAGAATAAAATAAATGTGACGCAAGTGTAAATAGCATAAATATTATATCCTGTTACAGAGAGTTTCAGGTTAACAAATGTTAGCAGAGATTGAGAAAAACAGTCTCAGTGTTTTCTCGCTACCACTGAGACAATCTTAACAAAAGCTATTAGTTACATCACGGTGATCGGAGAGATTTTGTAGTTAACTTCAACTACTTCATTGCAAATATAATGAACTGCAATTACTACTACTTTTTTTAAATGTTTTTTTTTAGTACTTTCGACAATGTAGTTACTACTTTTAAAAGACGAGCTTAGTTGGAGAATTTAGTTAACACCCATGTTCAAAATGACTTTAAATATGACTTGCTTAAATATGAGGCATTATTTATAATATTTATTTATGTTTTCATGAGGCACTTTGTTATTCTAAATCATTTTTTTTAACCTTCAAATTTTTATTTCTCTACAACAAATATTTAATTTAGAAATGGCAGTTAAATTACCAAATATTTGCGAAGTGTTTAATGTTTTTTTGGGGCATTCATTTTCATATAGGGTTTTACATAGACATATCTGCGAAGGTTGTACCAATCAGATTCATAGCTTTGTAGCGTTTGAACCTTGTTACCACAATAATTTAACGTTAAAAGTTTTAATTAACGTTAGTTGCCAGAAATCGCTACTAAATACTGTTTTTTGTTGTGAGGTACAACTAACTGAACTGCCTTTATTTTTCAAGAGTAGCATACTACACTACAATACAAACTACGTAAAAAACTAGCGACTACAGTGGTTTCGCTACTTGTATCGCGCTACTTCCGACCACTGCCTTTACATTTCGGTAAACATAGACTCAACATTTTGTAGTGTTGTAAAAAAAGTAACTTCATAAAATAATGGTAGGCAGTTTACGCTCTAACTTATTCAATATTTTCTAGTGTTCACACTGTTGGGCATCACTTTGTTTGTCGCAGGCCATTAAGGCAAAGAGTGTGATTGTTCTTGTTTTCTAGTGGCGCCATCTATAGCCAAGAATTCAGCTTCTGTCATACCCATACGTCACACCCGTTTATAGGGAGAACCCATTCATCCCCATATCATAATTTTAGCCTGAACCAGATAATGACCAATCTCCGATTCAGTACCTCCAGAGGTTATAGGAACATGGAGGACTTTGTGACCCGACAGATTTAACATGCATCGGTCCCCATTTACTATACGGAGAGTCTTCGGAGGGCTTGATTCGAACTCCCGTCCTCTCAAACATGAATCTAGCTCCCTTCCAACCAGGCTATTTCCCCCTATTCATGACTTTAGTTTCGAAATATGGCAGTTAACATAATTCTAGATAGAAATATAGACATTTATATTGTTAATTATAGTATGGTGAGCATGTGTGTCTTAGTCCTCCAACTTAAATGACAAGAAAAAAATGACTGAATGACAGTCAAGCCTTGTGTCATTTTGAAAAAATTCATGGAAAACTTAGTGGATTAAAATCAATTATTGAATAAACATGTAATAGTACATTTCTAAACGAAGTCAATAAAAATTAAATATTGTCAACAAATAAATAAGACATTGTAAAAATGTCATTACTATTAGAANAAAATGGCGGGAAAATGTATCGAATTTCGTTCCGGTTTTTTGGTTTTCCGATTTCCGGATAACGGGTTCTGTACTGTAGTACATTTCCAAACCAAGTCAATAAAAATTAAATATCTTCAATAAAATAAATAAGACATTGTAAAAATGTCATTACTATTAGAAATCAATACTTCTGTCTCCACCTGTTATATCTAACCTTTTTTTATACATAGGAACTCAGAATTCATTGTTGCGAAATTTTTGTACTTTTTTCGTCGGAAAAAAAAATAGTGGAACAAGTGAATTTTTTTGTCCCCTTTATAACTGCCAAAATGGAACAATAAGCCTTTAACGACCACTGCTGGAAAAAAAATAGGGACGCTCTTTTTTTTCTGGAATGCTTTTCGGGGGCCCTGTTTAAAGGTTCGCAGTTTCATATTCTCCTCATCTGGCAATAAAGAAAAGCAGAAGATAAAAAAAGGAGTAAGCATAATAACAACTCAACACTGTGAAGGGGTTCGTGACGAAAGACGAAAAAAGTAGGGGAGTAAGACTTTTTTCATTCCACATTTCGTAATATACCATCCACCCTTCACATTTTTTTTCCTGTCCTGAATGCCTTTTAAAAGACGACAGGTGGTTAGCAATAGTTTTTTTTCTTCTTTTGAGATATAAGGTCAGATTAGGACTTTATATGGAACCATTTAGAAATAATGAAATATGCTTCGATTTATGGAACTTTCTATAAGCTATTGTTTCTTAGCAAAGTAATCAACAGGGAAAAAAAAGCTATACGAAATTCCCAGCAAGAGAAAATATTGATAAAAAACACAGGTTTTTATTAAAAAAAATTTCAGGAATTCATAAGGAATACAGTACAGCAGGGCGTGAAATTCTCACTCGCCATCGGCGACCAAATATTTAGGGATATCAAGTAAGTTTATTCTTGTAAAGTATTGTACTTCAAACTGCCTCACTTTTTCCAAACTCACTGTAGAAAAATACTAAAGATGGAAAAGTGTACTAAAATATTCATTAAAAAAAAGACCGAAACCTACGTCATTATATCTGTTGATATCTGATCTGTTAAAATCTCTAATCTGTTGATATCTATGTCATTATAACTGTTGATATCACTTAGGTTTTTCTTCCCTAAGAAAATATTCTTGAATTTGGTTAAGAGGCTATACATTAATTACTCGTGTAATTAAACCCAAATCTCTTTAATGAAGAAGTGAATGTTGCGATTTCAGAGTGGGCAGAATTCTAGTTTAAGAACGCTTTACAGATATGAATTCGCATGTTGAATAATTTAACAGTGAAGAATGTTCCCCAAATTTGCTGCCAGATTATAACATTTTGCGCTACTTCCAGTTTTCAGTTTCAACATTTTTTGTACTGTTTTGGTCACCAAAAAGTTCTTTAAAATTTATCCGTTAGTATTTTAAAAACTGTTGATATTTGTCGTGAAAACAGGGGAGAGCAAAAGGTTTAGTCTGGGTAGTTAGTATCTTTAGAACTGAAATTTCACTTCCAGCACTATAGAGATAAGTATAGCATATCGATAAATGGCAGTCATGGGTTTGCTGTTACCTGCGCCCTCTTATGTAGAAATTCTTAAACAAAGTTTAGAGAAAAAATTTTATTGAAAACTAGGAAGGAAAAATGAAGCACATCATAAGGAATTATTGTTTTCAGCGTTTAATGTGGCTCTTTCACTCCTTGCTTAGGTGGCTAGGTGTTTGCTGGCATAGACCTTAGACTTAAAAAAAAAGAAAAGGATCCTATGACGTTGAATCCCTGACCTACGTCAGCTGGCTCTCGAGGTAATCAATAACATCCCTCCCGGAGCCTTGGTCATCTATACGGACGGAAGCAAGTCTGACTCCGGTAGAACGGTCAGTGGTGTTTTTATGAGGACAGGCGAAGGAGAGCTCAACCGCCGACTTTGAAACCGGGACCGTGCCTCGGTCTTTCGATCAGAGTTAATTGGCATAAATGAGGCCTTGAGCCTAGTCATGGACTCTGGCGTACCTAACATATGGATATTAACGGATAGCAAGAGTTCAATTCAATATTTGAAGAAATGGCCAAGTATCTTGGAAAATTTGGGACAGGAAATCGTTATCAAATTGACTACTTTCTCTAAGATCGGCTCGGTGCACTTGCAGTGGATCCCCACCCAAGTGGGTATTTATCGGAATGAGATTGCTGATCGGCTTGCCAAGGAAGGGAGTGAACTTGCTACTCCCCCTTCCTCTAAACTACTAGTGACTGAGGTTCACTCACTGAAGTTAGCTAGGGTAAATTCAGCGTGGATGCACCCACCAGATCATGATTGGTATGCCGCCAAATGCCCCAGATTATCCCTGCAAAACACTTGTCCTAGATTAGCTCAAACAGCTTTGTCAAGACTTAGGACCTGCCATATTAAGTGTTTGACCTTCAGAGCGAAAGAAAAGACTTATGTCTATTGTCATTGCTCGCCCATCGCTTCTCCATCTCATCTTTTGGATTGAATTCGTGCCTCTGTGATGGTAGGTGGATCATGGGTTCTAGGAGAGAGAAGGCCTCAGCACGGGTTACTGATAAGTGATGGAGAGACTGTCTATGACTTGCTGATGCGACATGATCTTCTGGACTTGGTCTAGGGCTCTAGACCAAGGGGATAAGCAACAACAACAACAAGTGACAACAACAACAACAAGTGACAAGTCATACTCAAATTATCGTCAAAAATAATATTGCGCGATCAGCGGTTGCTTATGGGATAGAGAGTTTACCTCCCAATGTAGTGGGCCAGGTTTGAATCCCAGATCAGTTTGAATCCATATTGACTGGTTGAAACGAATTCTGCTCCTGGCGCACTGACCACGGTGCTGATGTAAAATATCCTCAACGGTAGGTGGATCATGGGTTCTAGGAGAGAGAAGGCCTCAGCACGGGTTACCATAAACAAGAAATTTGATCTTTTAGTAGTCGAAACGTAATGACATCTTTCTTAATTCCCCCACAGCCCAGCTTAGTAGCCTAAACGTAGTGGCATCTTTCCTCCACTGCGCAGTTTATGTTCGTTACGTCGGACTACTAAATTGATCCGTGCTGAGGTCTTCATTCCTCTAGGAAATGTTGGTTAGAATACCCCTTGCCGTCGAGCAAAACGAGGGAAATTTCTACGTTATGTAACGCAAATGTGGGTTAGTTGCATCAGAAATTGCCCTACGAAGGCTGGTTTGTCCTAATGCTTGATTTAAGATCTCCCTTGTCTTCTGAGTTTGGTTCAAAATTACAAAGATACGAAGTTGAACATTGTTAGTCACAAACTCAGAATTATGTCGGTTGTTTCAACAAAAAATTATTATTTTGTTATTTTTTTCTTGCAGCTCTTTTTTAATAGATCAATGATCAACTATCTCGCTGTTTTATTCTTTTAATGCTAATGTTTCGTTCTAAAGCTTGAATTTGATTATTTTTAAACCTAAATGACGCTAATCTTAACTACTCTTTATGAAAACAAATGTCTGGAAAATATAGCTTCTGCTATCTTATCAGTATGGTCGCAATGTCTCAGATTAGAAAAAAAAGTAAAAAAAAATAATTGCTGAGAGAAATGTTTGAACGTTGAAAATGGAAAACAAGAGCGTGAGAAAAATACAGTGAATTTAATAAAGTGAAACCTCTCGGAAACGACCACTCTCTATTCCATAGTAAAATGGTTGTTAATGGGGGTTGGTCGTTCTAAGGAGTTCCCTCCAATGCCTTCAAAATGTTATCGAAAGTAGATGATTTTTTCCCTAACAATTTTAATTTTAGTCAGTGTCATTTTCTTGATGCGGAAATCCCACCCGTGTTGGGGTCATGAGAATCGGATAGATAAATAAAATTTTGTCTCAATAAAAATGATCCCATCTGATGTAATTAAGTGTAAAAACCAACATACCAATTACGAATGATAGAATTGTTTGAAATGAATAAACAATTATGTTCTTGTTTAAGTTTGCATTTAATTTTATATTATAAAAATAAGTCAACATTTAAAGATAAGAAGAGGTATGTTTGTTTGAAATGTACAAAAAACGAATGAAANACCAATTACGATTAGAATTACGATTACGATTAGATAGAATTATTTGAAATGAATAAACAATTATGTTCTTGTTTAAGTTTGCATTTAATTTTATATTATAAAAATAAGTCAACATTAAAAGATGAGAAGAGGTATGTTTGTTTGAAATGTACAAAAAACGAATGAAATAAAAATAAAAATATGACCACCGAAGCCGACGTCTTCAGGGGGTACCGGCCTCGGTAGCCATTAAAATCAAAACCATTTATATTTGAGGCAGAAGCAAATGCTTAAAAAATCTCCCTCAGTACCCCGATGGTTTTGTATAGAGGTCCAGGAAAAACAAGATACATTCAAAATAATTAACAAATTAAGAAAAGAAAATCATTCAAAATCACCAGAAAAACTCACTAAGTCACAGGTCAAGCATCAACTTCAAAAGCAAGTAGAGGAAAAGAAAACACTAAAAACTGAAAAACCAACGCCCCCTATTATAATGCGCAGAAGAAGTTTAAAATGAAATGGAAAAGGTCAAGAGAAAGAAATACGTAGACAAATGAATAGATTGCTTGATACTTTTGTATTGATACTTTTTTCTGAAATTTCTGCTGCTTCTTAGCGCGTTTTTTTCAAAGAAGTTTTATCCTTTTCGAATTTAATTATTTGTGTTTTCTTTCTGCATTTGTTTGAAATGCTTATTTTTTTCTAAAATGATTTTTTTTTTTCTAATTTAACTCTCAACTCTAAAAATAAATCATTGGTGGCATCCTCTTTAGTGCACTCTGACTGCAACATGAGGTTGTTGATCTCTTTCAGAGATCGTAGAAAAGAGCTCACTAAATATGAGCCTCACACCAATGTTTTGTATGCATCTTAATCTACTTATTTGTTTTGTTAATATTTCTTATTTGACCTTATCTGCATTTGGTGCAGAGGATTGCCCGGTCGCTGGGGAAGGTTTCGATGTTCTCTCTTAAAGGTTTTCTTCAATGCAATGTTTACCCAAGTCAAAATTTTTAATGGTTTTTCACTGATGGACCCACATAATCTTGATGGCTACCATCAATAATTCCATAATGAGCCATTTTACTTTTTGATGGTAACCAACATAAGTAACCATCACCTCAATGTAGGAATTCGGACAGATTTATGATGGTCCAACATAAGAATAGCAACTTGTTTTGATGGTTTATTCACTTTGAACCATCACGAACTTCCATCATACTATCTTAGAAATCAAATGTTGGAACGATCTTGAGCAACCATCATCCCAATGTAGGAATTCGGACTGATTTATGATGGTCCAACATAAAAAAAAAACAAATTGTTCTGATGGTATATTCCTGAGAAGCAACAAGAATTCTTATTAAACCATCATGGAAATGTATAGTTTGAACCATCACGAATTGTTGGTCCATGAGAGTCAAACTTCTCTTGATGATTAACCATCATAGCATTAAAGTAGCATTTTCCGTCATGGAATGATGTAAATTTGTTAGCATATCAAAAACCATGAACACGCAAAGGAAAATGTTGGATGATGGTGACCATCAAATGATGTTGGACCATCATGAATCGCACTGAAGTCAACATAAACCATCAAAATTTTTTGATGGGACCATCATGAATCACACTGAAGTCAACATAAACCATCAAAATTTTTTGATGGGACCATCATGAATCGCACTGAAGTCAACATAAACCATCAAAATTTTTTGATGGGACCATCATGAATCGCACTGAAGTCAACATAAACCATTAAAATTTTTTGATGGGACCATCATGAATCGCACTGAAGTCAACATAAACCATTAAATTTTTTTGATGGGACCATCATGAATCGCACTGAAGTCAACATAAACCATCAAAATTTTTTGATGGGACCATCAAGAATTGTCATTTGAGTATGGTAAAATTCCGTGCCTCCCAAAAGAGGTAGCAAGTAGAGGAGGTCGCTGCACAGCATTGGTTTTTCCTAAAAGTTTCACCATACACGCATTTTGGAAGAATTATAATAATTATTCAAACACATACAATTTCAACTTTTAAAGAAAAAAAAACTTTCGTGACAAGTTTTTTTTTTTTTTTTAAATGTCAAAATTATTCCGAAATTGTAGGGGTTGATCAACAGTATCAAAGAGGTAGCATCCTCCTCTACTATATCACAATTTAAATATTTATTCGAAATGAGTTATTAAGGTTTTTTGATAGTTTTCAAAGTTTTTTAATTTCATAATTACAACTTTAAAAGATTATATAATTTAGTAAAGTATCGAAAAAAATTTAAAAAAATGTACTACAATCAACAAATTTCATTTTTGTTAAACGTTCACAGCGGAACATTTTAAACTTTTTTGATCATCCTTAAGAAAAATACATACTCATAACTAAGTTTAATTGAATTTCAGTTTAAACTTCATTCCAAATATATTAAAGATTAAATAAATCTTAACAAATACTCAACTATTTTCTATTCTACTAATATAATTTATTTTATTTTATTTTTTATTTACTTATTGTTAGAAAAATGCCGTAATTTAAACTGCTATTTAATGCTATTTATTTATAATTTAAAATTTCATATAATCACTAGCAATAAATGAAATCGAAGATTTTGGGCTCCTGTTGAATATTTTTTTTTCATTCCCAAAGTTACGCTTTGCTTTTAGCTACGTAGAATTCTTTTTTTTTGAAACACGTTGCACTCTGCAATGTAATTTCTTACACGCCTCAAACCAACCAGTTGGTAAGCACGCATTCGAATCATTCTCTGCGCATTGAAAAACAAAGAAAGACATAAATTTTTTAAACATTTCAACTCTGTAAACATTTCAACTCTGGCTTACGTTGACTTTTTGTTTTCTTACTATTATTTCGCACCTCTGAAAACTTCGTAAAAAGAAAAGAAAAAAAGAACTGCGTTGGAAGGTGAACAAAATTTAAAAAGGGAAATAATAATCATACACCATATCAAATCTTACATACTTCCCCAGAAATAAAATCTTCTTTATTAAAACACTTAATTCGAAATCAGATTGATAACTCAATACAAATAAGTAAAATGATGCAAATAAATTAAACTAACTAAATAAAACAAAATTTAAATTTAAGAAAAACATGGCATAAATGAAATCCTGAGGCAAAAATAGAATAAAAAATACATAGTCATAAAAATAAAAATACATAGCAATCTTCGAGAGAGTCACTATTGTAATTTTATTTCCGAAATAGTAGATTACGCTTATGTAAAATAGCGAGACATGTGAGGGCCCCCCAACTCCATAAATGTATGAGACCCTCTAAAATATGCAATATGAAGTATGTTTTTTACAATACATGTATTTAAAAAAATGGTATGTATGCTTTTTACAATCAACAATATGAGGTTGATTTTTTAAGTGTTAACGGAATTTAATTTACAGTTATTTTAATTAGTTGTTATTTAATTACTAA